CCACTAAATAACTATTGACAAAATGAGTATGTCACAAAGCACCGCCATGACTATTAAAAACGTCGCAGTTCACATACTAGCCATCACACTTATCAAATATATGTCCATGAAACAATTTCAAGCCTCAAGCGTCCCTGGCACGTCCTGCTCTTTCAAGGTAATAAATCACTTTATCAATCTATCGTAACCATGGCCAGTTAGTGACATACAGGTAACATGGTGTATATTAATATAATGGCAAAAACAATGAAAAAGCATATAAATCCAAATACATTTTCAAACAAACTAGTAAAACGAATGCAGCACAACATACATATTTATATCTCGAAATGAAATTGTAAAAGGGCTATTCGTTTATTTGAAATCTTTTAGTTTTGAGTATATAATTTTGGACGGCTAGAAAATGTGTGGTGTCTTCTTGATGGGTTAGAGAATCATCACCAAAGTGTAGAAGATTAGTAGATAACTGATACGGCAAACTCAGAATATGAAGCTGTCTAAGTGCTGTATATTTATAACATCTTAGCAAATAATCTGTTGAATTTTCATTGGAACCACAGGAACAATTCGGGGAGAGTATGGTGTTTTTCGTAAGCAAGTGTTCATTTAAGAAGCTACATGACATATGCAGTCTTGCATGGTAGATTTGACCCAGACGTGAACCATGAAAGAGGTATGAAGGTGGACATTAGATTTCAGAAAGGCTTTTAAATGAGAAATGGAAGGGTTATTTCTAACATGTAATGAAAGAGGTTTGGACCATTCAACTATTTTTAGTAGATCGGACTTTTATTTGTTTCCAAAGGGTTTTCAACTATCATGTACAGAGTAGTGTCATCAGCAAATATTTTTTTAAAGATTTGATATCGTTGACTATGTCATTGATATAGATTAAAAACAACAAAGGTTCACGTATTGAACCTTGTTGAACTCCAGCCTAAATTTCAGCCCAATCAGAGTGACTCTTATTGATGATAGGCCGTTGTTTTCTATTCGTTAAGTAGCTTTCGAACCATTTTAGCAGAGATCCAGTTATTCCAATTTTTGATCATTTATACAACAGCCCTTTGTGCCAAACCCTGTCAAACGCGTTGCTGATGTCACAAAATACTACTCTTATTTCTTTACCTGAATCTAATGCCTTAATGAAATCGTTTGAAATACTTAATAATTGGTTAATAGAGGAATCGCCTAGTGTAAAATCTGATTGATTTTTTAGTCACCCCTGGGGGAACCCCAGTGGGGACTATTAAATTTTGTTTCAGTCCCAGATTTTGACCTCTGTTAGGAGGGCTGTTGTGTATCTTGCTTCTGTCGGAATATACCAGGCGCTAATTACAAGCTCTTGGATAACTCAGATATCGATTTCCTTTTTAAACAGGAATAGAATAAACCTAAAGGCGTTCCAAATTCCCCACGGGAATTACATATAACCTTAAGATGTTCCGAGTATGAATCAGGCACCTTTGAAGTTCCCGAAGGGGTAAACTGTCGTATTTTAAATTGCTATTGACTGATTTAGATATTTTATGTCTGACCAACGACTACCGTTAATATTTGCGTATAGTGCGCACTTTTTTAAGGGGAAAATGAAGTGTAAAGAGAGGGGTGTACACGATATTCAAGAACAATCCAAAACCAGTCCTTGGTCGCGACCACTTCTCGTAAATTTTTCAAAGATTTTCGGAAATGTTTTGATATATGCTAACAGCAATACAACTGCTAAATTTCGTTGAATAATACCTGATTGCATTGCCAATTTAACAATTACGAAAAGTTGCAAGTTTAAGTCGTATATAATACTATAGAATCGGATAAATAAACTCGAGTGAAGCAGGGACAGAATATACTATACGTCCCTGAGTAAAGTAGGCTCAACTTTTCAGGACGTTACGTTGTGATCGATAAATACCACGTATCGGGAAACAAAACGAAGAATTGCATCGGATTTATTACTCTGTGGTTAAAATGTCGTTCTTGGGTACAATCTTGCTGAACTCTTCAATCTTGTCCGTAGGAATGTGTCAAAACTACACGGGTAAAGCGGCGTGTGTACCGCAAAGAGTCGAAGTTGCGTGATACTATTAACCGGCAGGAATTTACAAATGACATCCATGCGAATTGAACCGATAATGAGTTTGAAAATTAAATATCAACGGGTTCAAAACAGCCAAATACATTCCGATCTTTTCTTTTCGAATTGTGTGGCTGTTGGCGGTCCTCGTCGGAGTGACTGCCTTTAAGCGTACAGTACACATTCTGCCGATATCGATGACCGATTCAGTCGGATTTGCAGACGATCAGAAAACTACTTGGAGAAGTGTATTTCATAACCAAAAATAGTAGAAGATTGATCCGTATATAAGATTGAATCTTTTCTGAAACTTGTTGTTTTGAAAACAACATCGTTATATTCCAATTACCTGGTCTGCCCATGCCAGGTGACCGTGTCAGCGCGCAGATCTCCCCGTATTCGAGGTGTCGGTCAACGCTAACGTTATATTTGCGACATGCTTTCCTATTAATTCCCTGTGTTGCCATGGCTACCTGAACAGCATGTATATATTTACACCTGGTAATTGTTTACTATTTTGATTGACAGGTGGAAATATATCCGTTGTAGCTTGGTCAATGATTTATCGGAAAATGATCATACAGAATGATGGGGTGACTGTCATGTCATTCTGACATATTTCTAGTTTGTTCTTACTTTCAAATCAAGAAGAAAATTATGAATATGTTTATAACGCTCCTCTCGAACACTTTACCAATTATACTTAACAGTGAAATTGGTCGATAGTTTTTAACATCATTACCGCTATCTTTTTTATATATAGGTAAAACATCGCTTCTTTCCACGATGATGGAAATATTCCTTGTGATAAGGATTCATTAAAAAATATAGATAATGTGTTTCAGCTCAAATAGTGGTTATATGCATAACTGAAACTTTGAAAAAACTGAGCCTGTATCAGTGCCAAATAAAACAAATTCAGAGCGGTATTTTTTCTTGATAATGAAAAATATACACCAACACTTCAGTAAATAATATCATTTGGTTTGGTTATAGAACCCTTTTATATGGTTAATTGTGGTGCATAGCAGTTTAAATAACCCAGTGAATTGAATGGCTAAGAGCTCGGTTCCGCCAATTTTGTTACTTTTTATGGCTCATTTATTTCACAATAATTATCAAAAAACAGATATGACTCATGAACATATTATTAAAATGTAAATATTGTCACATCAGTAAGCGCTGTCGGGGTTTCATTGGACTTCGGTGTTTTTTTCATAATATAATGTTTTCGTAATTGCTGTGGTCACATGAACATGTTTGCCCTAGTTATACACCACCGAAACGACAGTCGACAAAAGAGATCCGAAAAGAGTTTAAATTGTTGCAATTAGAACGGCAGATCAATTATTGCCGATTAAATATGAAAAAAAGTATAAAATATACCGGTATGACATAAAAAAGATATTGTTTAATCACTCTTTATAGGTGTTACAATTATGTTCACTTCAGTCAGTTGCTTAAATAATAGATAGTAATAACATACAGCATTTGATGTAGCGCCCTATCTAGCTAACATAAGCCACTCTAAGGCACTTTACAATACATCGATATACAATTAAAATAATTAGCATCTACACTAATCAATACAATATTAAAGCATTCGCAGGAGCTGCCTTATCAGGCGCTAACTACTAGTCATATGCCACCTGGCTTATATCTCCCTTTGTGTGTATGTCTTGTGCTGGATATGTAATGTGTGTTGTGTTTGAAATGGGACCGTGATTTCAACGGCATCATTTATAGTGCCACCTCACTTGAATGCTACAGTACTAATACCGCAACATCCACCACAGACCAATTTATACTCAACCTGGGTTGTTACAGTTATGTGGGCAGGAAAAAAACACTTTCTCTGAATATCCCTGCGAACGACGACTTCGGGGTTCGAACCCCGGCCACCTGCGTGTAAGGCCGGAGTGTTGACCATTCGACTAATCTGCCCAGGTTGCAGTTTTTCCAAGGTAGATGTTTAATTGTCCATGTTGGGGTTGAGTTTAATTTACTGAAGGCAACGGCCAATTGAGAATTTTTTGAAAAGCTCCGTATTGACAAAATAGTTAATATCAACAGTACTATAACTATCCTAATCTTATAAAACAAGCAGGTCTAGATATTACAAAAAAATGTGATGAAAATGATATCAAATATCGTAAAACTATCAGAAAAGTCTAGATATTATGGAAAATATGTAATTTCTCCACCAATGCTAAGGTTGTGGATATGAGATTACAGGAAATCAAAATCAAGTTAGATATCAAATCTTTTCAACAGCAGCTGGGGAAAATCTTTTTCTTTCATGCGATCAAGTGCCCAATTCTGCTGACCATCAACAGTGTGTCAGAATATCTGCCGATTCTGTTGATTTATCCCGAAAAATCTCAGTGATTTAGATGATTAAAATAACACAAGTTCTTAAATTCAAATTTCCAACATGTACTAACTACCCTTATGTTAGGTCAACATCTGCAAAGGTACACAACAGTCGGAAAGAGCGAAACGTAACTCGAGACGTCACGCACGGTTTTCTACTTAAAGTTGCAGACCCATCCACGATATTTATTGATTCATTGTATTCTAACACTCAGCATATACCCAATTTATAGTTAAATAAAAACACATTGCATTCAGTTAGTAATACAGTCCCTTTTGTTTTGCCCTTTATTAGGTGAGCTTATTAATGTACTTATGAATATCGTAAGCGTCTTTATGACACATATTTCAAAGGCTAGCATAAAATCAGTATCATTATGTTAAGATATCAGCATTTGAAGGACTATAGACATTTATAATACGGAAGATTTTTGGGACAAAACGTATAAATGATAGAATATTTTCTGTAATATTGTTCCTATATTGGTAAAGTGAAACTGTATCACACATGGTGTTAAAGAGAAACGTACGTTTGTTCATACCCATCTTTCAGCGCAACTTCAATCAAACAGCTGGTGGTATCGAGACGATCAATATCGCTGATGATAGAAAAACTCTGTCACTAAAATGGAAAGATGGAGTATTGTCAAGGTAAGTTTACTTACAATGATGGGGAGCTGTCAATGTACGTTTTGTTACAAAGATGAGAAACTGTCTAGGTAAGATTAGCCCTGAATATGGGAGGCTGTCAAGTTTATTAAATTGATAATAAAATCATAATGTTGCATATGCACATAATGTAGCCTTCATTTTAATAAAGAAAAATTATCAAAGGTATTTTGGTAATAAAGATGGGTAATTGTCAAGGTAAGTTAAGTTATAGAGGTGTATTTTTGTGACGTAAGCTTGATGATTGAAATTGAGAGCTGTCAAAGTAAGTTTTACAATAGAGTTGTAGAATTGTAACGTAAGCTTGATTATAACGATTGAAAACCATTACAGTAAGCCCAATAACAATGATAGGAAAGAAAGGATAAAGACATTGATATAAAAATAGAAGTTTTACTAAAAGGCCGCTAGTAATAAGCTGTAACAGTTATTCTAAAAGGTGATATGGTATCAAATTTGTATCACTCTCAGCATGTTCCTTTTGAATCTCCCTATCATTGTGGTAACATTTACTAATACTCTATGACAGTAAGAAAACAAACCCAAGCTGGTTATAACATTTAATAATACTCTGTGACAGTAAGAAAACAAACCCAAGCTGGTTATAACATTTACCATTGCTCTATGACAGTAAGAAGACAAACTCTAGCCGGTTATAACATTAACTAATACTCTTTGACAGTAAGAAGACAAACTCTAGCTGGTTATAACATTTACTAATACTTTGTGACAGTAAGAAAGCAAACCCAAGCTGGTTATACCATTTACTAATACTCTATAACAGTAAGAAGACAAAGTCATGCTGGTTATACAATCTACTAATACCCCCTGACCGTAAGAAGACAAACTCTAGCCGGTTAGAACATTAACTAATACTCTTTAACAGTAAGAAGACAAAGTCATGCTGGTTATACAATTTGCTAATACTCTGTGATAGTAAAGAGACAGAGGAGCCAAGCTGTTTATAACATTTACTAATACTCTATGAAAATAAAGAAACAAATCAAAGCTGGTTATACAATTTGCTAATACTCTGTGATAGTAAAGAGACAGAGGAGCCAAGCTGTTTATAACATTTACATATACTCTTTGATAGCAAGAAGACAAACCCACGATGGTTATAACATTTAATAATACTCTGTGACTGTAAGGAGACAGAGGAGCCAAGCTGTTTATAACATTTACATATACTCTTTGATAGCAAGAAGACAAACCCACGATGGTTACAACATTTACTAATACTTTGTGACAGAAAGAAAACAAACCCACGCTGGTTATAACATTTAATAATACTCTGTGACAGTAAGAAAACGATCCAAGCTGGTTATACCATTTACTAATACTCTATGAAAATAAAGAAACAAATCAAAGCTGGTTACACATTTTGCTAATTCTCTGGGACTGTAAGGAGACAGAGGAGCCAAGCTGTTTATAACATTTACTAATTATAACATTAACTAATGCTCTTTGACAGTAAGAAGACAACCTCTAGCTGGTTATACAATTTGCTAATACTCTGTGATAGTAAGGAGACAGAGGAGCCAAGCTGTTTATAACATTTACATATACTCTTTGATAGCAAGAAGACAAACCCACGATGGTTACAACATTTACTAATACGCTATGACAATAAAGAAACAAATCAAAGCTGGTTACACATTTTGCTAATTCTCTGTGACTGTAAGGAGACAGAGGAGCCAAGCTGTTTATAACATTTACATATACTCTTTGATAGTAAGAAGACAAACCCACGATGGTTACAACATTTACTAATACGCTATGACAGTAAGAAGACAACCTCTAGCTGGTTATACAATTTGCTAATACTCTGTGATAGTAAGGAGACAGAGGAGCCAAGCTGTTTATAACATTTACATATACTCTTTGATAGTAAGAAGACAAACTCTAGCTGGTTATACAATTTACTAATACTCTTTGATAGTAAGAAGACAAACTCTAGCCGGTTAGAACATTAACTAATACTCTTTGCCAGTAAGAAGACAAACCCACGATGGTTACAACATTTACTAATACACTTAGACAGTAAGAAGACAAAGTCATGCTGGTTATACAATTTACTAATACTCTATGACACTAAGAAAACAAACCCACGCTGGTTATAACATTTACTAATACTTTGTGACAGTAAGAAAGCAAACCCAAGCTGGTTGTAACATTTACTAATACACTTAGACAGTAAGAAGACAAACTCTAGCTGGTTATAACATTTACTAATAATCTGTGACAGTAAGAAAACAATCCAAGCTGGTTATAACATTTACTAATACTCTGTGACAGTAAGAAAACAAACCCAAGCTGGTTATAACATTTACTAATACTCTATGACAGTAAGAAAACAAACCCAAGCTGGTTATAACATTTACTAATACTCTATGACAGTTAAAAGACAAAGCCAAGCTGGTTATAACATTTACTATTGCTCTATGACAGTAAGAAGACAAACTCTAGCCGGTTATAACATTAACTAATACTCTTGACAGTAAGAAGACAAACTCTAGCTGGTTATAACATTTACTAATACTCTATGACAATAAAGAAACAAATCCAAGCTGGTTATACAATTTGCTAATACTCTGTGACAGTAAGGAGACAGAGGAGCCCAGCTGTTTATAACATTTACATATACTCTTTGATAGTAAGAAGACAAACCCACGATGGTTATAACATTTACTAATACTTCCTGACAGTAAGAAGACAAAGTCATGCTGGTTATACAATTTACTAATACTCCCTGACAGTAAGAAGACAAACTCTAGCTGGTTATACAATTTACTAATACTCTATGACAGTAAGAAGACAAACTCTAGCTGGTTTTACAATTTACTAATACTCTATGACAGTAAGAAGACAAACTCGAGCTGGTTATACAATTTTGCTCTCAATAACCTGACGATATATGTCTACTGCAATCTACAGATGTTAAACATAACTTATAAAAAGGATATTTCTAAACATTTTCTTCATGTTGGTAAGTGTGGATTATGAGAAGTTCTTTTTACTCATCAAAACGTCACATAGAAAATGTTATGGGTTGTGTAAAAAGTACTTCTCATAATTATACAAAGGATGTTTTTTGTTTAGTTTCCACAGTAAGTGGCTGCGATTTAATTGTCGGTGCAGCAAATGCAATGATACTGCCAACAGTTGGATCTGGCCTGCCCATGAAATACCAATGACCTTGACGATACAAGCTGTCTCCACTACAGGTAAGCATGCTACTATCTGAATAAGTTAAAAAAGATAAAAATGATTCATATTTGATGTACGCTGTCCTACATTCATTCTTTATAGCAAATCGTCTTAACAATAAATTTCGTCTTAATATGATGATATCCCTTGGTAATGATCAACATCCCTTCATCGATTGCACATCCAACTATTATAAACATTGACATTAGTATGGTACATCTCATAATCATCGACAGTAACAAGTCAGACATCATTTTCCATCACACGACGGTCAAACTTAACAGAAAATATATCCTGTGACATACTTCCTTGATACATTGTGTTATTACATTTCCTTAATAAAAGTACACATATTTGGTAATTAATTGATGAAGACTATTGACAAGTTTTGTGGTCGCAATCATAATATCATAGGGACATACTTTGTGTGATGTTAACGTCGATTTTAACGTGAGTTTTATTATCCTTGTAGGGTTTTACATATTGGTTTTTACTATGTTAATAGTTTACCATTGTTTTATCGATTTTGAGTTCAAATAACGGTTTCGTTGTCTTGTTGTGTTTAAAAAAAAAAAAAAAAAAAAAAAAATTTTTTTTTTTTTAAAAAAAAAAAAAAAAAAAAAAGACTTTTTTCTTATTCAATACGATTTCAGAGGGATGTGAAAGCAATTAACAGCATATATAATTGACTCTCCCACGTTTAAACAACCATGCCATGGCAGTCATTTATGAAACAGTAAAGAGTAGTTAATTGTTATTTTTTGGTTTAATGAAATGTTTACTCATGTTTAAGAGGATGGTCATGTCCACGTCCAGTGGAATGAGGAGGATCACGACGGAATCCTCCCCGGGGAACATCTTCTGCAACATTGTTACTCCAAAGAGAACCAAAGGCGTTTAAGGGATCAAGCAAAATTACATTTTAATTCGGAGGTAAGCAGATATCACATCATAAAAAACAATCAATAGTTTATGTCAATCTGTATTTTTCCCATACAAATTATTTACAAATAAGGATGTCATTCGCGTAAAACCCACTCTTTTTTGAGATGACTTGTTTTGACTTCACCAAATAAATAAAACGATAATGAAACATTATTGTATTATCAATCGCCTCGTACTTTGATATTTAAAAATAGCTTATATCTTATTTACATAGTCTTGTCTGTATTTGTATTGGGATAATTAAATATATAGATCCTATCTTATATACACATTGGTGTCTATTGCTGTAATTGTATGTTTTACAAGGTGACAATTCCAGAGATGTCCTGGCGAGATGTACAGTCATCAGAGTACTCCTTATATAGGTATGGAAGTACTCATTGGAATTATCAGCTGTTACAGTTTGTCACAAACCTCATGAATTCCATCTCTTCTATTAGAATCTTCTATACATTGAAATTGACATGGGAAGTTTTCGAGAGAGAAAAAAAAAGAATTTATGCATAGTTTCTTTCTACTGTTTTTATTCTTTGATTTATATGACAAAATATAAAATCGTCGTTTGATAAAATATTGTTTTCTATAATAAGGTGGCTTAGAAATATCAATGACCCGGGATTATGTCTGCTAACAGATGTACCAGCCGAGCATCACTACGCACGGAACGTAAGATAACACACGATTAGCTATCTCAAAATAAACACGCATTAAATAGAAATACGTACTTAAATACAGAAAATGGAAGTATGCGACACATTATAGTACAAATATAAAAGAAATACTGAGATATTTTATTTATAACTAATAACATCGTTTACATTTTTTGTAATTGGAATGCAGCTTTGTTATTACATTGCAATGAAGCCTGAACTTATGTATGGCTACACTTGCTTTATTACAGGTTCTGAGTAAGATTGGCTGCCTGACGGGAACCTTATACGGAGAGGTCAGTTAGTGTTAACATTTCGAGGTAGTCAGTTTATCTGTCTTTTGTATGACGTCTTTTAACATTTCTTAATTGAAAGTGTACTATTATTCCGAAAAATATATCTACCTGAAAGGAATGAGGTTTTCCACTCATGAAAATGTTTACCAAACAAACATTTGATTTCCACATAAATGTACATCTTTACAAAAAAATGTATGACAACTTTAAATAATGTTACATTGTATCATGACGGGAGCATTTCGAGTTGAATAATGATATTAAGAACGAAACGGCACTCGGAGCGATCAGAATATCAGAATCACAGGTGTAAAGGAAATATCGAACGATACATTTGTCTTAAAAGTTTCAAGTTATGGTATACAGGAAAGGAAGTCAATATAATACTGCCCGATTATTAATTTTTATAAAAGCATTTTATTAACTACATTTAAGAAAGTATCTACAGACCCACTGAATGTAGAGCTAGTGTTATATTTGGTATCTTATAAATCAAATATCAATTTTTCATTTTCATTCAGAAAAATACGGAACACTTATAGTGTTTTTCCAATCAGTTAATACCACCTCCCCAGTATTGTAAACTAAGATTTGCTATGTTTATATTGAAAGATATAATGATATATTTTGGAAACAGACATTTTTATAACGTCTTAATGTACCATTTTTTATGTAAGAATAGGAAAAAACTTTATACTTAGTCTCAATGTGTACCTTTCTATGTTATTAACTGTTTAATCTAACCATCTGGCTATTTCAAACTAATATAAAAGTAACCGTGCTGTTATTGAATACACCTTTGTGGTTTCGTTCCGATCTCTTAACACAAATGAGTATTTTATAACTTTATTTGCTGTTCTGTATCACAATTTAACACATAACGTAACAATCGCCGTTGTTTGGTCACCAGATATGGGATGTAAAACTGCATAAGAAAATGATCAATTCTGCATACGGACGACAAGCTCTTCTCTTCCACACTGACCTGGCTATATACGAAGCACAACCTGGTGTACAATTTCTACACTGTTTGAGGTAAGGATGGCAATATGTGCTGCATTTTGAGAAACGAAACAATTGAATCGCTTGCAAACGAAAGCAGTATTGGTTTCGTTTTAATAAATAATATACAAGCATTAACATCTGACACAAAATCCGCAGAGGTCGACAGACTTTTCCTAAGATTAGTTGTATAAGTAAAAGTGCATTCGATTCGATCTTATCTGTTTAGAGGAATAAACAGGATTAAGAAGAATTATGTTTGATAACGCCTTATTCTTGGGGAAATTTCGGTGTTTCTTATGCATGAGTTAGCATTATTTTCTTCTCTGCTGGAAATCAGCTGTTTTACTAATACATCTATATGTTTGTAGAGGTTCCTTCCTTCCTTGATGGACATCGCAATTTCACAGCTGCCTATATATGATTGTCACGTTTCTTCTGTTCCTTGCTTGATATTGCAATCATTAAATGGTCATGTATTCGGGAGAATTCATTTACTTGAATAAGCTGACTTTTTTAAAACTAATTTTCAATTTTGACCGAGTCCTTTTTTACCAAGTATTCTGCAAATAATGCACCTAATTAAGATGGTCGAGATTCGACACCCCGATCGGATGTGAAAAGGTAATGGTTGAACTTGACTACCGCGCTGGTTTACTCTGGGTACTCCGGTGTCCTCCTACACTGAGATCTCCTGTGCGCTCAACAAGAGTCATCATTATAAGTAGAAAAAATCCTCATTCATAATTGTTGTAAAATAAATAAAGTTTATATTTTCATTACAATCATTTATACAGTATGAAGGAGTGCTATAATTCAGCAAGTACATATATGGCCATCGTTTAATTCCGTTTAATGTTTCATATTGCACTTCTGGAACACATGTATCACACAGCAGATAATCAAATTCTTAAGTTATTAATCCTTGTGGCTCATAGAGGTTTAACGAGCATTAAAAAAGTGAAAAGCTGCTCAATTTTACTTTCGCTTTGTATGCATCGAAATGGTAGACTGTCATGTTTCTGTCATTTACCTACATTGTATCGTGTGATATTTAGTTAATTTAGTTAAATGAAACAACGTCATCTTCTTCTCAAGTATGTATATACACCGACTTTATTTTCAAATCGATAATTAAACAATGACAACGCTTATTGTTTTGATGTAACAAAAGGTTAAAAAAAAGACCACGTATACGATTATAGTTATCGAGAGAGGTTATATATGCTCTTGTCCGCAAGAGCATAACCATTCGTTATATAAACCATATGTATGTATACGTGCAGGTAATAAAACCGTTTTTGTCAGAATCTTATTTTTATCAAGATTTGATGACTCATTGGAGGGCGGTGAAACCCTATTTGTCGACCTATATCACATAGCTGAGACATTTCGGAGAGATTTTCCAGAGGAATTTCGACTGCTCACACAGGTTCCATTTACTTTTACAAGGATTCATTATGACCGGTGAGTGATATTGTTATTTTTAGTCTGCTTAGAGCGCTTACATTGTGAATTGTATTGGTTAGGTTTAACTTTGAAAGTTTCATTGATACATGTGTCCGGTTTGTTGGTTATACAGCCGTCAGACCGGACTGGCGTCCTNAATAGAAACTCCAAGGACGCAGTAAGAACGCGGTAAGGTCGTGTTGGGAACGCCGTGTACATACACAGATCGCAGAGCACAGAACTCCGGTGTGACGGCTGACTCGAAATCTGGATTTATTTTAGAAAAATCATTGGCGTTCTCAATGCGACCATCGGCGTTCTCCAAAATATGACAGTTTAGGACGCGGTAAGGACGCCAGTCCGGTGTGACGGCAGTATTATAGATACATGGAGCACCTTGCAGACTGTATGTCTTAATTGTTAATTCAACTCGCATAGACCCGTTTAGATATGACTTATCGATTTTGGTAAATGGTAAGAAAAACGCGATGATAACATGCGTTCTGTGGCAGACGCATCTCTTTTTCGGTCGTACTTCTTATTTTTACCTCTGCAGGTCGGGGAGAGTCCTCCAATTCGGGACACAAAATCTGCTGCACCAGTTGCAATATTTGGAATCTTAATATTTCATTCTACTTCGAACTACCTTTTATTTCCTAGCGCCTTGCTCGGCAACACCTTACTTTATTGTGGAGCGTTCGCCCAGGTTAGGAAGGCAATGGGTTCTGTGCCCAGGCCAAGACTTACCAAAATCCTTTAAAATGGTAGTTGTTATTACCTGCTTAACATTTAGCATTTGGGGTAACGGTAACAACTGGTTCACTCGTTGTCGGTATGATGTGACATGGCGGGATGCTGTACTGGCTGCTTTTTACATGGTATTTCAGGGCACTATATCAGATCCGCGCTATCACAAGAAGGCAAGCACACACACTAACATACCCTGTCTCCTGCACACAAACATACATTCACGCATACACAACACATATGGAGGCACGCCCTAAGCTTTTGATAGATCGTTAAACAAAATAAAACCAAACCAAACCAAACCTATTTAGTCTGGCTGATTTCATTTATATTTTTACTTATCTACCTGACAAATTCTGATGATTACACATTACATAATGTGATGAATTAAGATGCTGTGATTTCACCAACCATATCTTCATGACTTGCATGCACTTTATGAAATAGATATAAATAGATACCAACGTTATAGACTGTTATTTTACATAAAGTGCTGATCCTGTCCACATGATTCTCAGAAGACCACTGATAGCTCTTAACGATGAGAATCGGGTAAGTTTTATCAAATTGCGGAAATATGCGCTTTTATTCAATCCTAAGTTGTGTAATCATCACTTAATATACAAACTAAAGGATACCTGTTTAAAAATTTAGTGAGTCGATTTCGAAAGCCAACAATCTATGCACTGCATCATTTTGAGAATTATGCATCACGTGATTAGACTTGTCCAATAGTCTAACGATTTCTAAACAAAAGATACTCATTCCTTTGGACGGCAATTCGAAGTTCTACAACAACATTAAAAGCATGGTGTTCTTTTATAAATATGTAATGTTTGCATTAGCATTTTCTCACCTGTGATTGCAGTAATCAAGATGATGATATATTTATTGGATATTTCAGATCATCAATATGACATGGCATGAACACGAACTTGGGCCACCTCTGGTCAATGAGGTAAGATCATCTTTTATATAAGCAATATACATAAAAACTGAGTGTTTAAAACATCCGATGGTAATTATTTGGTTTGGGTTATCACTCGGCTATTAACGTACGTGACAAGAAAGATAACTCCCACTGTTTCTAAGTGTCGTCAAATAACATCCTGTGGGGTGTCGTCTCCCACACCGTCGATTTTAAGATGAAAAGTTTAATGATTAACTACTCTATGACAAATGAAATAGCACAACATTTTCTGCTGTTATCGTGAGCTGATATTGTGTCGTGATTTTCGATTTTCTTTTGTTTACGTAAAATTTATTTTATCATCCATCAGAACAACGTTGAAGAGTTTTATCAAGCTTACCAGCTTTTTTCAAGGGCTATCAACGACTTTCCGTATCGGGTAAGCTCTCAACCAGTGTCTTCTCTTCTTAGAAACATTTACACATATTTTTGCCTGGTCAATTTACGTATCATTATTATTAATATAAATCTTAATTTAATTTTAATGATACATGCGTATTTGGTGATTGTGCCTTCGTTACGGTATATACTGTCAAAGTTCTTCAATTTTCGTTATACCTGGCAACTTTCGGCTTGATTCGATCACAATTGAAGCAGCATAATTAAGCAACAGCCTTCATATAAACGTATAGTTAAGGTCTTTGAACGCAGTAAAGGGGATGTCTTACGTTATATCAAGACACGTACAATATCATTTTAAAAACATTTCTAATGAGCAGACTACATTGCAATGTGTGACATATCCTTTTCTTGCTGTCATTACCAGAGAGTAGTTCGTCTCCGTAAGGGTGATATGATCTGCTTCAATAATCGACGACTTGCTCATGCCAGAAATGCATTTACTGGTGAAGGAGAGAGACACTTACAGGTAAAACCATCCTTGAAATTAAATTGTTCCGCCCTCGATTCACATCTATTCTCAACACCCTAGAATAATACATCGAGACAAAATCGAAGGCACGCGTACTGCTGTTTGATTGGTTTCATATAAAAAGTTTTGATGCAATGAACCTGTCATAAGGAGACGATTGAGTAGCTAAACCGAACGTCTATTTTATTGTTACGCTGTTGTGCGATTTCTTAGATCTTCATTAAATCACACAGGATTAGTCTACTGAAATCGTCCGCAATGTGTTTTGTAAAGAGCCTTCGATTTCGTCATGACATATTCAAGAGTTGTACAATATCGAGAGCGGAATTAGGGGATTTCGACACTGAGTTAAGACATTGATAAATTATGATTTCCTGCAAAAATAAATATAAAGGGAAGCAAATGATAGTAATGCAATAATGCCAAAACATTGCAAGAATGTATCTGTCTTTCTGACGAAAAACAATCACTTCTTAACAGACGGAATCCTAAGTTTAGCCGGATATGTTTTTTCATCTATTTGATCAGCATCAAACGATATGAACTCTGACATGATGTTACAGGGCTGTTATGTTAATTCGGATGACTTTAAGAGCAAGCTGATGTATCTCTCTCACAAGCTGGACGATGGTAGACCGGTGTGTCACGTGGGCAACACGGACTGGACGTAAGAAGGGGGCACCATTTTATGTTTTAGCATCGTGTATGTAGTTATTTACGACACATTGAAGCAAAAGGACAATGATAATGTAAACATTCAATTGTAAGTTTTTTAAATATATATATATAGTACAACATCATTAAAAACAACATATGAAAACAATTGTGTACCGCTATATTTAAAACAAAAAGTATATCATATTCTAAAAAATGTATATCATCTTAAAAAATGTATATCATACTTTAAAACATGTTTATCATAAAAATTGTATGTCATATATGTAGCAAACAAAGATAAAGCAGATTAAACACTGCTCCAATTAGCTGAGTACGAAAAGCCATTAAAAATATGTAATTATTGTAAACATATAATTATCGTTAACATTGGATTCTTCTTGTCCTGTGAGCAATCATCATTTCGTAAAATATATTTACAGTGTCGTTAAGTTCATAAAAAGAAAAGAAAAACTGGAAAAAAAATTGTGTCAACATGTTAAAAATGTACCTTGATGCTACATTGTACAGTGATAGTTATAGTTTTATTGTATATACTTCTAGTGCCATAATAATCAGTATATATCAGTGTGCGTCATCGATATTGTCGGTAGCGTATATGATTATATTTAACCAGTATGACAGGACATGATTATTACAGTATGACAGGACATGATTATTACCAAGGGATCAAAAGAAATGCTAGATTCTATAATGCAAATTTAATCAACTTCAGTAATAAGGGTACCGTATGCTTAATATATTTCAATTGTACTTATTTTCAATAAAAATGTTTAAATTTCAAATTTACGTTTGCTTTTATAGACACGAGTTGACACTGGTATATGTTTTGTTTTTGCCTTACCTTGCACATTTTGTTTTAACAATGGACAACTTAAATGTCCCGGATCATGAAGATGATGATAACGTTGATAATATAATATTTCTGTATAAACCAATTGCTATAACGAGAATAGCATATTAAATCCGTGTCTTCCTATACCTCATTCACAAAACGACACAGCAACGATCTGAAAATTTACCATCAAGTCTTCAACTTCTGTTTGTATATCCATGAAATCAATACCGAATAAAAATCAAGACAATTTTCAACACACGTTTTGATATTCACAGGCCATCAGGACACAAATATGGCAAAATACGTTTGCGCGACTTATATTTGGCATTCTATATTTATATCACTGGTGTTCATTTATTCTATATTTTATTATCCTTTAGGCAGATATCATCAAAACAAACCATCATTTGATATTGAAATAGATTCCCCAAAATAAGAATTATTGTCTAATAACTGCTTCCAATATAACTATTCGTTTGCGTGACAATTTAGCTCAAACGATTCTTAAAGTGTCAAATGTATTAGTGACTTGGATTGCCCTGTCAAACGTGAAGAAGTGATAGGTCACCTCCATGATCATAGCGGGTTTTCTCCTGGTGGTCCGATTTTTCCCTCGGATCTAATTTTAATCTATGCCCACTAGAGTGAAAAAAATGTTTCATAATTGTTATGAAAGTAAAGTTTATATGTTTATATTATTATGAAAATGTAACAGGTTTACACAAATAGAAACATACAAAGTACATCTTATAAAAACATACAAACATGTTATCAAACAAAGATGGGCCTAGCAATGTCACATATATTCGGGAAAAGTTCTTCTTATGAAATATATAGCTGACCAATATGCAATAATATTATTTACATTTGGAATATTGTTGGTTGGTATTAGATTGGGCACTACGAGAGCTTAAACACAATGTCACCATGTTTTTTTCTATTTATTGCCAAAAATAAGACAAAAAGACAAATTTGTATTGCGACTTGCAATAATGCATCAGTCATCGGGCCAAAAATTAGTCCCACGTCTAATAGAGCAGTCATCAGCAGGAATTATCTGGCGAATGCATCCATCGGATATTGGACTAATACACTCTTTGAAACTTAATAGCTGTGTCCAAGCTAAGCCAAGTTGTATGAAGTTTTCTATCTGTTTACTTCAACTAATGTAAGCGAGTTTTTCTCTCACACTCGCTATCAACTACCCACATTCACAGCAGTGACTAACGATAGCCATCTCTTTGAAATGACTGCATATCCTGAAATTGCAACATTGTTGCTTGCCATATTTAAATATTGAATGTTTTGTATAGTAAGAAAAGCGCAGACAAATACAGTATCTTGACACATGTACTTTGGAAATAAAACAAGTAATAAAAATACCAAATAATACTTAATTACTTTGATACATGAATGTGCAAATATAAAGCTACCTAGAGTTAGTCCTTTTCTAATCGTGAACTATGTTTTCAGTTCATGTACTGCCACATCTATAGAAATTGGTATGCCCAACAAAACCTACTGCTGACCAGTATATCACAATTAGTCTCCGGAATGTCCCACTTATGTTCACTTTAGTTGACGTTATTCATTCTCCTATTATTATTCTGTTCTGTTCATTTACCAACTTCTAATTATTGGAAGTAACGTTGGCTCAATGTCTGTGCCGTATATTTGACCCCTTACGGAGACTCATGTGGGGGCCCTGCAGAAACTGCAGGATCGCTGGCTCACCGTCTGTACCCAAAGCTTGACACACACACACACACCCTTGAGGCGACGTATGTGCGGCCCCTACAGAGACTGCTTTTATCACACTCGTTTCAAATTTTCTGTTAAACCATCAACATGTATGGTAACACTCAATAATTCAATAATTTTTTGATTTTATAGCAATATAAAAAACAATTTTCGAAAGAAAAGCGGTAAAATTAATTACTTTTGCTGCAACATTCTTTTGTTTTCTACAGACAATGGACAAAGATGTCGATAGAAAGTATAAACGTTAACGTCAGATTACTCGTCAGAGATCTCAAATAAACATCACAGTATTTTTTTCATAAAAAAAAAGAATATACAAAAATATTTTAAAATCGAAATCACACAATTTAGAAAATTTAAAAATCGAAATCACACAATTTAAAATATAAATAACACAGATTAGGTATTAAGGCAACGGACTTATACATCGCACAGTAAATCATGATTGGGTTATCGATCGGTCAAGAATGCAGTTTTCAAAGAATGCAAACTAGGTTTTATATACGGGATGAACGGATGGAAGATCGTTTTTGGGCATTTTAGCGTAAGTCTTAACAAGTTAAATGGATTTCGTTGATTTAGCGTCTTATGTGACAGGTTACTTCGTCACACGAATAGAACATTTTCGTTGCAATTATTTGATTGTGAGATGCGAAAACAATAATGTTGTCGTACACACAACATGTGATATATACCATAGTACATGAATTATAGCATCACGTATTTGATTTAAAGTAAGTACACATCATGGTGTATTGGTATCGAGTGTAAATGCCGAAGAAAAATGCCAACAAAAGAAGTTTCACATTTTCTTACTTTTTCGGTTGCTTGGTATTTCCCAATTTGACAATTATAACGACCAAATATCTAGTCTCACAATATTTATATATATGAACAATTAGGTTGTAAAATGATAATCATCGAACGGATAAAACACCGGTTTTAGATGTATTATCATCAACTTTTCTTCTTTGCCTTTTTTCATATTTTTCTCGCTTTATCTTTTCATGGAAGTTGCTCCCCTTGCATCACTGAAGCCTTATTGATTATTATGGCTGCTTTCTTAATAAAAACAAGCATATTCGTGGAATTTATATCCCCTGCTTTCAGGGCTTAATGTAGGTAAATATTATTGAGGTTAGATTTAAACATGTGAGTATCGTGCTGTTGAGACATAATGTATAGCTTGAAACTCGAAGAAAAAAAAGCCTTATCTAATATGTGCTAGAGTTATTAAGCGGAAACTGCAGATAATTACCAAATGGAGTCCGATTAAAGTGGTTATCAAACTTGGCCGAGCCCTAAATGCGTTGAACCCTGTTACTAAGTTTGAAGACAATTGGATACTATACGCGAGAGTTAATAAACAGAAATGGAAGATATTGACGTTTTTCGTTATTCAAGGGGCCATAACTTCATCGAACTTGGTCGAGCCCTTAAGGTATTTAACCCTGGTGCCAAGTTTGAAGAAAATCGGTTAACATTTGTTGTAGTTATTGCACGGAAACGAAGCGTGACAGACAGACAGACAGACAGACAGACGGACAAACCCAAATTAATATCCCCCGTTTCGGTGAAAGCTGGAGATAAAAACGGAAAGAAGTCATGGAATCGGTGGATTTAACTTTAAAAAAAGTAAACTATAATTTTGCAACGAAAGATATCACGTAAATAACTCGAATTTCAGACAAGAAATCCTTAAATTAAAAGTAAATACAAAGCATAACTCTTTATTAAATAATATCTTAAACCCATCACTTTATTTTCGAACAATTTCAGACAATGCTATATCCTTGATAGTCTAGTCAAAACGGAGTCTTTGCAGGGAAAGATGACATCCTTGCTCGACAATAGCAAATCATGTTTAGAAAGTATTTGATCATTTTAGTCTGATAATAAAAACAATCAAGGGAATGAATACAATAGTGTAATCACGAAACCACATGACACACAAATAAGCATGATCCTTCGACCTTTATATTACATAAGGAATACCCCTTACCAGATCATGACGGTAATTATAAAACTTGTCCAGTCATCATTGATCCAAATATCTCAAAACCATGTGTTACATTGTAGGTAGGTCCAATTTTTTATCGTTGCTAGCGATGTAACATCTTTGCTAATCCAGACATTTTTAAATTTAAACAACCAGATATGCTTAAATAATCGAACAGTGTTACATTCTTTGGAGGCGAACAACAATTGTAGTCTGTGAATTGAGGACTGTAACAGAAAAAATAATGTTGGTAATATGTTAATTAGTTTAAAATTAAATTAGCTTTATTTGGAAATATTTGAAATTTGAAATACATTGTATCTATTGAATTTCACAATGTGAATAAGCTGGATAGAAGAAATGTAAAACAGTAAGAAAGTAACATGTGAAGAAGTTAATAAAGATCATGTTTGATAACAGCAATATCGATTTTAAAAGTTGCATTTAGAATAATCGTGTTCCTAAATGCTTCAATAT